GACAGTAGAATACTGAAGTAAACCAATCAAAGCTGACGCCTGGACTATACATAAACACACACAGGAGGAGAGAGAGTGAGTGAGAGATGGGATAAGCATTACTGTTTCTGTAATGTTTTATCACTGTTTGAAGAGTTCTTCCAAAAATAATGAGAGATTTTTCAATAGTTTTATTACATGTCATCAATATATTTAATACCACAAGCAATAATCCAATAGCATTATTTCAGAAGATGTTAATTAAAATTGAGTGATTTATAGATATTATACTTTGAGTATATTGATACATCATGCGTGATTGTTAAACAGGCAGTAAAGAACAAACATCTCAAAAAAACATCGAATTCTCTTGATTTATGGCTTCTGTGGTGCAGAGAAAAGAACATTTTTTATTTGAATTCCTTTTAGAGTTTTCAGTGTTCTCTTATATTCCATGATATGGGAAAATGGCATTATAAAGAAAAATATCTGATAACTGAAACCCTCAGAATGTCAACCATTTTTTATTGTCTTGAGGCCTACGTCTCCTGAGCTCACTCTCAAGGCTGACTCGAGTCTTTTCCAGCTAGCGTGACACGCATGCACACCTTTGTACAGGAGGTACACCCAGAGCCTGGGTGTTGCCATGCACAGAGACAGAAGTCTGGACTAGCTGGCATCTCAGCCACATCACCCTAGAATCCTGAGGTGAGTCATTCTTAATTACCATGGGGAAAACCAAGGATTGTGTCTTGACCTCTTCCCGTTGATAAGCCTTTTGGAACATCTGAGGAGGAGACTAAAATCAAAGCAGTGAGATGGTGAAAGATCACTCAGGATCATGTGAACACATACCTCATTCTAATTCAGGTTCCCATGGGATCAGCCAAGTGTTAGATTCATCTATTCCTAAGCTTCCACATCAATGAAGATGCCAATGAGAGGATTAGACATCACTAAGTAGCTACAAGATGGATGTGTTCAACTACTGAAGATAAGAAAAACAGAAACCCTAAGAAAGGTTGTTAAAGATTTCATCTGAATACATTAAACATCATGGATTAAATAGAAATAAAACTGTTGAACTAAGCTGCATTATTGTAGCAGCTAAAGTTTGTAACCTATAATTTAGAGGAAATCATGACTAAAAAACAGAAAATGAAAGCCATTTTAGGGTTGACAAGAGACTTGGCTCTTGAGGGGATCCCAGTTGTCCAAGGAGATGTACCTAGCTAGGTCCTTGGGCAGTAGTGCAGAAGGTGCTTGAACTGGCCTTGCCCCACTATCACACTGATGTTTATCTCAAATATCACCATAGAATCTTCCTCTGGCTATGGATGGAGATAGAGACAGAGACCCTCATCAGAGCAACGGACTGAGCTCCCAAGGTCCAGTTGAAGGGCAGAAGGAGGGAGATGAGCAAGGAATTCTGGATCGCAAGGGCTTGGTCCACCCACTGAGACAGAGTGCCTGATCTAATGGGAGCTCACCAAATCCAGCTGGACCCGGACTGAATGAGCATGTGATCAAACTGAACTCTCTGAATGTGGCTGACAATGGGCACTGACTGAGAAGCCATTGATAAAGGCACTGGGACTTGTTTCTACTGCAAGTACTGGTTCTTTGGGACTCTAGTCTATTTGGATGCAAAGCTTCCTAGTCCTAAATGTAGTGGGGAGGGCCTTGGACTTCCCACAGGGGAGGGTTCCCTGCCCTCTCTTGAGGAGGAAGGGTGAGGAAGAAGGGGGAGTAGGGGAACAGGAGGGGAATGGGAGGAGGGGAGGAAGTGTAAATTATTAAATGGAAAAATTAAAAATAAATAAATAAACATACAGAGATAAAAGAAAAGAAAAAGTTCTATGAAAAAAAAAAACAGAAAATGAAATCATTCACCTGAGGACAAATTTGAGAGCAGGTGGGAAAAGCTTCAGGTACATTCACACTAAAGGCTCTGTGTCATAAGATTTTCTCCTTGTGTTAACTAGTACACAGTCCTGAACAAGTCTTAGCTACTGACTTTGTGGCAGACACCATTGGAAGGGTTAAAGTCTTCTATGCATCTGATGCTGCAACAAAGTCAAGGAAAGATCAAGGGACTTTAGAGGGTGTATTTTCAGTTAGAATTTGAGTATGTATAAATACTAGATATATGGACAAAAGGAAATGATATTCAAACATGCAGGCAGATTATAGATACATGGAAATAGATGATAGAAGGTGGAGGGCACATATCTCTATATATGAAGCTCTCCACACATTAATAAATATTCATGCTTCTCTATTACATTTATTTGTGCTCAACGTGCTCATGTATTCCGGGCACAATTTATTCACCGAGTTTTGGACTTTCAGATCGACCAGCATTTACGGAGAAGAGATTTTGCAAATTTAGTATAGAATTTATTTGCCTTTTGTCTCTGACATGTTTTATTTTGGTGTGGTCTTAAAGTATGACCCTTTATAAACATATATGTCTATAATGAATCAGAACTATTTCCATTAAATCCTGAAAATTTCAAAACTCAAAGTATTATGTTCATACAGTCAATGGGCATGTAGAATATAAATGGAAATCAGGCACACAGAGAAGACAAATGACCACAGAAACACAATCTTGTGAACCACTAATGAGAGAATCTATTTAAAATAGCCTGACTTCTGGCAATCAGGGGTAGAAACCACTGGTGTTTGTCTCACATGAAGTAGATTGATTCTATTTCTCTGTTTCTTAAAGGTGAATATCATGATTTCTTCTACTTCATATGAACACTTCTCCTAACTTTCCTCTTACTAATGAGCCATTTGACTTCACCAAGAACAGCACACTGGTTCCTAGAGAGGGATATGCTGGCTGCTAAAATTTACAGAAACATAGAAATGCTAAAGACAAGAGCAGCACATTCCTAAAATAGGATTACTTGTAAATTCAAGAAATATTCAATATAAATTTATATGCCAAACAAATTAAAGAAACAAACTAAGTGAGGATACCCCCTCTCTCTGGTACAAAAACTGCATTTTTATAATTAATGCATACTATTTTTCATGTCTTGGATTACTTGGGAAATTATATACATACCAATAATTGTACATCCCCATATATTTTGTTTTAAAAGATTACATTTTTATTTTAAAGGGTGTGTGTGTGTGTGTACGTGCGTGAGTGTATGTGTGACTGTATCTTGGAGGCAAAAAGAGGGTGTTAGAGGCCCTCAAGATGGATTTCCAGGGGCTGTGAGCTGTCGAATGTTGTTTTTAGGAACCAAACTCAGATCCTCTACAAGAGCAGTGTGTATTCTTCACTGAGGAGCATCTCTTTATTTCTGTCTCTAGAGAGCAGTATCTTCACCCTGTATTTAGCAATTTGAACGTCTGTGTGCTGTAAGCTGTGTACCATGATGCTTTATTTTTACCAGCTACATTTTACTGCTTCAATATTTCATTCATTTTCATCATATTCTATAAATAGTCTTCCTAACATTCCACTGTAATGGTTAAGGGGGAAATGAAGCAGGGCAGATAGACTTTCAGAACCACACCTCATCATAACTTGGTGCTTAACCGGATGCATTATGCAGGCTTCTGATAATTTTGGCATCTACACTGCACTCATATAGGCACAGTTGGGATGGAAGCTGACATTCAAGGTTTTATTATCTCAACTGGGCTATCAGCTGAAGATATCACACAAGGAACCAGGAGAAAAGGAGGAAGCCAGAGGTATGACTGGTTCATGAAGCAAGTACTCTGTGGGAATGCCAGGTTTAAGGATCCAGGAATCCACTTCCTCCCTTCATGCCTAAACCATGTCCTAAGATAGATGCAGCATGCCTTGGCCCCATGGAAAAAGGGTGTTGGGATCATCTGGTCATCACCAGTCACATGACAATGTGGTGTCACGAGGCAGAGCCACCCCTATTCACACACTCTCTGACAGGGTGAGACAGAGCCCAGGATCAGAATAAAAAGGCTGAGGGACAGGGCACTTCCATCATTCACCTCCTGAGATACCCACAGACCATTAGCTGCCTGTCAACTTGGTAAGTTTCCATGGGAGGCAAGAGCAGAAACTTTTCCAGAGGGGTTGCCAGAGTGGAGTAGGACAGGAGTCTGGGAGGGGTCTCCCCACCTAGAAGACATCGATAGATCATAAAACATGGTGAAGAGTGAGGAACGAGGAAATAGGGACATGAATACACACAAGCTCTGGAAGGCACTGGAATACATGGGTCATTCTGACTCTGGAGAGGACGATGTACCTTCACTGTATAGGAACCCTTGGAAGGGATGCTGAGTACAGAGACCTGAGCATCTGAACAGGCTCAGGGAGCTATTGGCCTATGAAGAAAATGCTTCCTCTAACTCTTAAAGAAGAGCTGGATCGAAAAAGTCAACAAAATCTCACTTAGGCTTGGGAAAGAAACAGAGCCCTGGTTGTGGGATCTGTTCACACACTTCTCTGATAAAGAGGACACCGCCAGGATGACACTGACTTTGTCACCCTTAACCTGTGGAGGTGGTGATTTGGAATACTTTGAACTCTGAACTCACATGGAGGTTTATAGTCCTATGGCAAATTTAAGTGTGTTTGCATATTTTTCTTTCATAATTTTTCCTGATCAGTAATCTAGAAGGTCTTAAAATGTTTACTTTATACTAAAATCACCTTCAAGTAGTGATTACTCTCTTTGCTTTTCAATTACTTTTCTCTGAAATAATCCATATACCGGCACTCGTGTGAGGACTAAGACCAATATACATTTTACATTGTCACTAGATAATCATTCAGTGTTTCTGGATACTGGGTGACAATGAGTATTCTTTCACTTGTTTCTGTGATTCTGAATTCATTATGAACATATTGTGACAGCGTGAGTGTATTATAAAAGAAAGGACCATGAATGGTTGCTTTGAGGTTTATAGGTAAAATTCAGGTGGCCAGAATGATTCAGGTGGCCACAGTGTCTGGTGTCTGACCTGTGTGTGATTCTCTTGCAGCCCCTGAACACCCACAGGCTGAGATGTCCTGCCAGCAGAGCCAGCAACAGTGCCAGCCTCCTCCCAAGTGTGCCCCCAAGTGCCCTCCCAAGTGCCAGACACCAAAGTGTCCCCCAAAGTGTCCTCCTAAGTGTCCCCCTAAGTGCCCTCCTGCCTCTTCCTGCTGCAGTCTGGGTTCTGGGGGCTGCTGTGGTTCAAGCTCTGGAGGCTGCTGCAGCTCTGGCGGTGGTGGCTGCTGCCTGAGCCACCACAGGCCCCGCAGATCTCTCCGTCACAGACACCAGAGCTCTGGATGTTGTAGCAGTGGTGGCAGCAGTGGCTGCTGTGGCAGCAGCGGTGGCGGCAGCTGTGGCAGTAGCCAGCAGTCTGGCGGCTGTTGCTAAGCTGGTGAGGAAGACTTCACCAAGTGTTGCCAGAGGAAGCCATGCTCAGCAGACTGGTCCAGGCCTGCTGCCCTCTCCTCTGGCTTCTCTCCTGGGCTTTGCTCTGAGATGCTGACATCTGTGAAAGGTTCTGCATTCCACTCACCAGATGACAGTGCCCCTTTCCCTCTTTGTTACAAATAAAAAAGCCTTGGCGACCAGTCCTGACAAGACTCTTGTTCATTTCTCAGCATCGTCCTCATCCCATCCCTTAGTCATATTTGTTGCCCTCTGACCTCTTTAATTATGTGTGTGTTTCCTATAACTTTGTAACAACTCTTCTACTGTATCAATAAGAACTACAATGGTGTTTTTATTTGTAATTTGATATGAGAATTTAGAAATTGCAGTGACTTCTCACAAATTTAAAACCTGGGGAAAACCCAGTGTCAATGGACTTGAAGGTCAATGTTCACTATTAGACACTTCTTGGAAGGATAACGACCAATACTGAGATTAATTGAGGACAAAGAGCACATCAGCCAGTCCATTCTCTTCACAACTGTGTATTTCTTCCTGTATTATACACAAAGTTTTGATGGATACCTACAGAAATTAACATTGTTTCCATATCTTCATTTTGCTGCTGTATCTGAGTTATTACAATGTAGGAACTTCCTCACAGCTGACCACCGCAATGGTCTCCCTCCTTACCTTATGCTGGTGGCTGCTGAAATATTGATGTTGAGGAGATCAGCACTCAAGAGTGGATGGTTTGGCAATCTTTGCCTGTGCCTGCTCCATCTTCTGTGATTTGTTTTCAAATCAAGTCAGTGCAGTTGCACTAAGACAGTTGTTTCACTGAACTGTGGACACCTTCAGGTCTCTAACTCTGCCCCCGTCCTTAGTAGGAAACAGGCTTTGTTGTCATTTTTCCAGGGTCACTTCACACTCAAGTGGCGCCCAAATGCAGTCTTTCATCCTCTCAGCCTTCTGTTTTAACTTTATATATTCATGCGTAATAACATTTAAAATGTCCTAAAACATTTAAATCACAGTGTTATACATAATTTAAACACAATGAAATTCATTAATTTAAATGAAAAGTCCAATATAATTTAGAGTTATATGCCATAAAATAATAATGGACACACTGTGAATGTTGCGAGAACCTGTCATTTGTTATTTGAGCAATTTATAAAAGAGAATATTACTCCTAAAACATGCAAAAGAAACTGCAGACGAACATAATTTCAATAAAATTAATTATATTTTATAGAAAGCACCATTGAACTCATAGAAGATTTCAATTTAGAAAAGTTTAATGCATATTACACATTTGTACACATACACAGGTATATTAATCTAAACCCCATAAATGATAGAAAATGTCCAAGATTTTTCCTTCCGTGTCTGATGAGTCTAACTTAATGTTATGGCTGTGCTTATATAGTCAACTGTGAGTGACTTAACTTTTTATTAGGACTGAATACAGTTCCATTGATCATGCACACCACATTTTCTTTGACTACCCTGATGGTCATCTAGGCTGGTTCTATATGGTGGCTGTTACTAATAATGCAGTGACACCCATCAGTCTGTAGGTGTCTCTGTTGAACACTGACTTTGAGGCTTTGGTTGTGTACCTAGAAGCAGTGTAGCTGGATACTAAGGGAATTTCTTCTTAGTATTGAGATTCCTTTTCCCCAAGATCCTCAATAGCACTAGACACCATTGTTTCTGCTGATGGTGGCCATGATGGCTTCTATGAGCAAGAATTTCAATAAGTCTCATTTCCATTTCCCTGTTATCTAACAATAGCAAATATTTTCTTCAAATTGATAGTCATTTCTCTTTTGAGTACTGGCTGCTTATTTCATTTTTCCTTTTATTAATTGCATTATTTTAGGGTAACTTTGCAATTCTTTTTGTCTTCTCTGTAGTAATACCCCAAAAATATATTCTCTCATCCTGAGAGCTGACTCATTACTGATTCTTACCTTTTCCTGAGTATTCAATCTTGAAGGTCATGGAAATCTTCACAATTCTTTCCAAACACCAGGGCCAGCAAAAGAAGCATCTTTGTGAAGCAGCAAGGCAATTTGACCGTGTGTGGGCGTGGATTGGCCAGGAACTAGGTGCCCTTGCATCAGGCTGCTTTAGGGGGGGGGGGTTAAAGGAGGGTCCTGATAAACAGAAATGTATTTTATCAGCCTTCCAAACAATGTTGGACAGATTTCCCAAAGAAATATGGATTTGTTTCTGATCATCCAGTGAGAATTATTCTACCTGGTCAGAGTCCTACTCAGGGCACTGTCACCAGCACTCCCATTTTGGGGGAGGGGACACTTTGGCCCCCATTCTTGATCTAGGAACCATTTCCAAGCTTCAGGTGCCAGCAAAGGAAGAACTGTTTTTCTCCTATGAATTTCACTGGCTAGAAAGCACACACTTAAGGACTGGCTGCATGTTCAGCAGGAGATAGCTAACAACTATGATGCCCAGATCGTGGGGTCCCTCCCAAAACCACCACAGAATCTGTACTCCTATGAAAAAGCAAAAAGCCTTTGTTCAAGCTTAAGCTTGGACTCTTAGTCAGTCCTTCTAAGTGTTTGAGAGCAGAGAGTGCCAAGCCCTGTCCAGATAGTTTTTTTTTTTATCATAGTAGAGGTTGGGGTGAGGTTATTACTAGTGTTCTGTACCCTGATTGCTTGACATATGTCTAGAGGTCTTGGAAAAAGGGGAATAGGTGAGTCCTGTGCTCAGGGACACGTGGTGATCCTATCTAATCTTATCTAATGGTTGGAATCAGGTACTCCCCTTTAGATGTTGATCCTCCCTGGGTGGTGGCAGCTTACTGCTTTTTCTGGATCCCCGTGATGCCTGCCATGACAGCTCTGCAACCTGGGCCCCATGTTTGGCCAGGTTGCCCTGATCCCACATTTCACTCTTTTTCACAAGTACTGAAGACAGGACCCAATTTTGGGCCCCACATGGCCTGGGCCAAATTATACGTGTTCAGGCTGCCCTGGGCCCCACACAATGAACTCAGTAGTATTTTTGGAAATTGTTGTTTCACAATGCTTTTGTTGAGATTTTTTTTAAGCATAATGGTATTTTGCTTATGTTTTGTATTTGTGCAAATGTCGGTGTGTCTACATATATATGTATTTCTAGTGTTTTTCCTTTTTCTATTTTTAAATTTATTTAATTTAATTGACTTTTTAAAATTTATTTTACATACTGACTACAGTTTCTCTTCCCTCCTCTCCTGTCATCCCCTCTACTGCCTTGTTTATTCTGGTTTTTGTTGTCTTTCTTCTTTATAAAAAAAAGTGAGAAAAAAGTCTTAAATTTGGAAGGGTTAGGAAGTGGGGAGTAGCTGGGAGTATCTGAAGGAGGAGGGAATCAAATCAGAATAGATTCTATGAAAAGATTATTTTCAATTAAAAATGAAGCCTAAGAAAATACATTACCTGTGTTGTATCCATATTTATTTTAATTTGATTTTTCAAATTTGAAAAAGTTCCTTCCTGAATCTTTTTGTCACACACTATTCATTCAAGAATTTATTGTTTAATCTGTATTGTTTTGTAGGGACTCATATTTTTTGTTATATTTGATTTCTAGTCTGATAAGTCAAAAATTATTTTAATCCTTTCATATTTGTTAAAATATTTATGGTCAAAATATGATCTATTTTTAAGACAGTTCTCATGTCTCAAGAGAATGAAGTACACTTTGCATCTATTGACTTTGATGTTTTGTCTATCTGTGTTGAATCAACTTGACCTAGGGTGAAGTTTTATTTTGAAACTTCATTGTTTACTTTTAGCTTTTATGACCTATCGATGAATTTAGAATATTGAAGTAACTACTCAAAGTTTACAACTGGATTACAGAAACTCACACACAGACATGCACACACACACACATGGTCAGAGAGAGTGTGTGAGAGAGATGGGATAAGCATTATTATAAGTAGAATATATTTTGTCAGTTTTGAAGAATTCTTCCTAAAGTATTGAGAGAATTCTGAATGGTTTTATTACATATCATCAATATATTAAAAGTGGGCACTAGAAAAACTCAAATAGTATTACATAAGATGTTAATTAAAATTAAGTGATTTGCAGACATTATACTTTGAGAGGATTGGTACATCGTGCTTATTGTTTAACAGGCACACAAGAACAAACATCCCCAAAATATCACTTAATTCTCTTGATTCGACCTCTGGGGTGCAGAGAAAGGAACATTTTTATTTGAATTAGTTCTGATAAGAGTTTTCAATGTTTTCTTATATTCCGGGATAAGAAAAATGACCTCATAAAAGAAAGTATAGCTGTCAATTGAAACCTTTAGAAGGTGAACAAGTGTTTTTCAAAATATTCATATTGTGGGCTAAGTCCCAGAGAATGCACACAAGGCTGACTCTAGTTCTTTTCCAGCTAGGAAGATACTCATACACACCTGTGCACAGGCAGAAAGCCGAGAGCCTGGGTGTTGCCTTGCACAGAGACAGAAGTCTGAGTATCTGGCATCTCAGCCACATCATCCTAGAATACTAAGGTGAGTCACATGACACTGCCATTGGGACACCAGGAACCATGTCCTGACCTCTCCCAGTTGATAAGACTTTTGGAAGAATCCAAGGAGGAAACTCAAATCAAACCAGGTGAGACAGTGATAGACTTCTCAAGGTCATGTGGACACTCATACCACACTCTGCCTCAGAGTTCAGGTTCCCATGACATGATCCAAGTGTTAGAAGGATCTATTTCTAAGCTTACACATCAATGAAGATGCCAGTGAGAGGATTAGACATCACCAAGTAGCCACAGGATGATTGTGTTCAACTACTGAAGACAAGAAAAATACAACCTAAGAAAGGTTGTTAAGGAATTCATTGAGACTGCATTAAACATCATGGATTAAGGAAAAAGAAAAATGTTAAAATGAGGTGCGTTATCATAGCAGCTGAACTTTGTAACAGATAGTTTAGAGAATATCATGACCAAAGACAGAAATGACATCATTCAACCAAGAACAAATTTGAGAGCAGGTGGGAAACGCTTCAGGTAAAGTAGCAGTAAAAGTGATACACCTTACGAGTTTCTATTTGTGTTAACTGGTATACAGTTCTGAACAAGTCTCTGCTACTGGATTTGTGGTAGTTACCACTGGGAGGGTTAGGGTCTTCTATGGGTCTGGTGCTGCAACACAGTCAATGAAAGATCAAGGGGCTTCAGGGAACAAATTAGAATTAGAACTTTGGGTATGTATAAATATTACGTGTATTTGAGAAAGGAATATGATAGTGGACATGCAGGCAGATTATAGATACATGAAAATAGATGACAGAAGGTGGAGAGGTACATGTCTCCATGTACGAAACTCTCGACACATGAATAAATATCCATGTTTCTCTATTACATTTTATTTGAGCTCTATGTGCTCATGTATCCCAGGAGGAATTTATTCGTAAGACTTGGTACTTTCAGGTCAACCAGCATTTACAGAGAAGAGACTTGGCAAATTTAGTCTACATCATCTTTGCCTTTTCTCACTGATATATTTTGTTTAATTTGGTAAATCTTAAAGTATGACTTTTTATAACCATATTGTTCTATGTTGAATCATAACATCTCTATTAAATCTTGAAAAAACAAAATTAATATATTGTGTTTATATATAGTTTATGAACATGTAGAATGTAAATGAAAATCAGGCACAAAGAGAAAACAGAAAGCTAATGCCCACAGAAAGACGTTCTTGTGAATGAGTGATTCTATTTAAAAATAACCCTTCTTCCTTCAGTCAGGATATGGCCCATTAGACCTTTGTTTCACATGCAAGAGCAGACTGACTATATTCCTGTATTTAATATAGGTGAGCAAAAACCCTTCTCCTAATATTGTTCATACTAATGAGCTGTCTGACATCACCAGTAACAGCACACCAGTTCCTAGAGAGAGATTCTGGGTTCTTCGGAGTATCCAGACATTTTGAAGTGGTAAAGACAAGAATAGCATATTCCTAAGCAGGATTACATGTAAATTCAAGAAATATCCAATATAAAGTTATATGTTAAATAAGTGTAAAGAAACAAGCAAATTAAGGACACCCACTCTCTCTGGTAATAACCACTGCATTTTTATAATTAATGCATATAATTTTTCAAAACTTGGGACTTTCAATATAAATTTATTGAACATTTTCATATTCTTTCAATAATGGTTTTAAAAGATTATATTACTTTTGATTGTGTGTATGTGTGTGTGTGCCTATGTTTGTAATTGAAGGCAGGAAGAGGGCATTAGAGGCCCTGAAGATGGATTTCCAGAGGGCTGTGAGCTGTTCAGTGTAGATGTTGGGAACCAAACTCAGAGCCTCTACAAGAGCAGTGTGCGTTCTTCATTGAGGAGCATCTCTCAATTTCTGTCTCTAGAGAGCAATGTCCTCACCCTATATTTAGCAATTTGAACGTCTGTGTGCTGTAAGCTGTGTACCATGATGCTCTATTTCTGTGAACCACATTTTACTGTTTCAATGTTTCATTCATTTTCATAATATTCTACAAATATTCTCCTTAATATTTCCCTGTAATAGTTAAGTGGGAAATGAAACAGGATAGATATATTCAGAACCACATCTCAGCATAACTTGGTGCTGAATCAGATGCATTATTTAAGCTTTTAATAATGTAGGCATCTACACTGCACCCATATAGGCACAGTTGGGAAATCTGTGGATGGAGGCTGACCCCCTGACCCCCCAAAAAACTTCAAGGTTTATTAGCTCAACTTTTACTATAAGCTGCAGGTATCACATAAAGAAACAGCAGTGAAGGAGGAAGCCAGAGGCATGGCTGATTCCCAAGGCAAGTACTCTGAGGACATGCCAGGGTGAAGGATCTAGGAATCCACTTCCTCCCTTCATACCTAACCCAGGTCCTAATAGACAAAGCATTCCTGGGCACCATAGAGAAGAGTTGTTGAGGAACATCTAGTCACCACCAATCACATTACCATCTAAGTGTCATGAGGCAGAGCCACACAGCTCCTGACACTCTCTGACAGGCTGAGCCAGAGCCCAGGATCAGAATAAAAGGGCTGAGGGACGGGGCACTTCCATCACTCACCTCCTGAGATACCCACAGATCGTGACCTGCCTGCCATCTTGGTAAGTGTTCATGGGACACAAGAGCAGAGACTTTTCCAGAGGGGTTGCCAGACTAGAGATGAACAGGGGACTGGGAGAGGTCTCTCAGCCTAGAGGCCATATTGATAGATCATAAAACATGGTGAAGGGTAAGGGCTGAGACAATGGGAACATGGACACACAGTAGTGGCAGTTCTGAGAGGCACTGGAATGACTGGGACCTCCTGGCTCTGGAGAAAGCAAAATACCTTCAGTGTATAGGAGCCTCCTTGGGATGAGATGCTGAGCACAGAGAACTGAGCATTTGGACAGGTTTGGGGGGGGGAGTTGTTCTGTGAAGAAAATGCTTCCCCTCACTTTTGAATCAGGAAAGAGCCAAAGAGTCTCGTTTTGGCATGGGAAAGAAAGAGAGCCCTGATTCTGGATCTGTTCATACATTTCTTTGATCAATAGGGCACCACCAGGGTGACACTTTGCCATCCTTAGCCAGAGCAGGTGGTGATTTGGTTGCCTAGGAAGTCTGAACTCACAACGGGGACTTCTAGTGCCATGGCAGCTCTGACAGGGCTTAAAAAATATTTGTCCTTTAGGAACTGAACGTTATTCTCCATCAGTAATCTAGAAGGTCTTGAAATTCTGACTATAAACTAAAATCAACTTCAAGTAACGATTTCTCTTTGCTCTTACAATTACTTTTTTCTGAAATAATCTGTATACTGGCATATCTATGAGACTAAGAGCAGTACACATTTTCCAATGTCACTAGATAATCATTCAATATTTCTGGTTTCAGGTGACAATGCGTATCTCAGTTGCATGTGTTCTGCGGTTTTAAAGTCCTGATGCACATGATGTGTGGCTAGAGTACAGTAGAATAATGGGAGTATAGATGATGTTCTATGACACTGCTGGGGACCAGGAGAAGCAAAGGGTTCACAGTGTCTGGTGTCTGACATGTGTGTGATTCTCTTGCAGCTCCTGAACACCCACAAACCGAGATGTCCTGCCAGCAGAGCCAGCAGCAGTGCCAGCCTCCTCCCAAGTGTGCCCCCAAGTGCCCTCCCAAGTGCCAGACACCAAAGTGTCCCCCAAAGTGTCCTCCTAAGTGTCCTCCTAAGTGTCCTCCTGTCTCTTCTTGCTGCAGTCTGGGTTCTGGGGGCTGCTGTGGTTCCAGTTCCGGGGGCTGCTGTGGCTCCAGCTCCGGGGGCTGCTGTGGTTCAAGCTCCGGGGGCTGCTGCAGCTCTGGTGGTGGTGGCTGCTGCCTGAGCCACCATAGGCCCCACAGATCTCTCCGTCGCAGACACCAGAGCTCTGAATGCTGTAGCAGCGGTGGCAGCAGTGGATGCTGTAGCAGCGGTGGCAGCAGTGGCTGCTGTGGCAGCAGTGGTGGCAGCAGCTGTGGCAGGAGCCAACAGTCTGGTGGCTGTTGCTAAGCTGGTGAGGAAGACTTCACCAAGTGTTGCAGGAGGAAGCCATGCTCAGCAGACTGGTTTAGGTCTGCTGCCCTCTCCTCTGGTTTCTCTCCTGGACTTTGCTCTGAGATGCTGACATCTGTGAAAGGTTCTGCATTCCACTCACCAGATGACAGTGCCCCTTTCCCTCTTTGTTACAAATAAAAAAGCCTTGGCAACCAGTCCTGACAAGACTCTTGTTCATTTCTCAGCATCGTCTTGATTCCATCTCAATGTTAAAACACTGTGACCCATTTAGAAGTCTATTTGTCTGAATATGTTTTTAATGTGCATCTGTGTTGTTTTTTGATAGCTTGAGGTTGATCTTGAAGCTGCTATGTTAGCTATCTGTAACTAACTCCTGGTGGTTGACTCCTCCCACTTGGGGTTCTGTGTATCTAATCTGAGGAGGAGGTACCATGGAGGGTGGCACTCATCCCCCAAACTCTTGGAAACAGTGAGATTATCTAACTCCAAGCAGACGACAGCCCACAATCACTAATCATGTGCTCCTTAGCAGGACCTCACAAAGGAGCCCTCGTGCTGGCAGGAACCTTGAACCATCTCTTAAAGGAGCTGTGCCATTGGTCACTGCCAGCAAACAGAGTCCATCTGAAAAATAATGTAGTTACCATAAAACGTGTCTGACTCCATTTTTCTGTGTCTAGAAGCCCTTTTTAAAAATCTTTCTCATTCTTTATGTGAATATATGTGTGTCTTGTTGGAAAGCCATATGTAAAATGTGGTTGCTCTGTCCTTCCCCATCCCTTAGACACTTGTAAATAATCACTCATAGGCTTAACATTAATTATAGAATATTTGACCTGTAGTTCAGCCTTGTTACTAACTAGCTCTTACATTTAAATTAACCCATTTCTATTAATCTCTGTATTGCCACATGGCCATAACTTTTACTTATCTGCTGGCCTCTTTCTTCTTCATCCACTGTGCGTGTCTCTCAACTCTGCCCTTCTTTCTCCCTGTGTTCAGTTTGGTCTTCCCATCTAGCTATATTATGATAGCTGTAGGCCAGAGCAGTTTCTATTATCAACCAATGAGAGAAACATATAATGACCCACAGCTTACTGTTTTGCATTGAATAACTCGTTGGTGAGCTCTCCCTAGGGAAGACTGTATCTCCCACTCTCAGCATTCCTTAGCTGCCTGTAGTTATTTTTGTAGGGTTCAGGTCTCCTGGGCTTTCCTTGTAATGTTTACTTGTGATGTTAATCGTTGTTTGCCTTGCTTAGCTCACGTTTAGGTAGCTATGCTAATGAGAATTTGTGGGTACCGCCTATGACATTACTAGGAGATATAATCACAGCAAACTCCCTGTTCTTTTGGATATTACATTTTTTTCACCCAGTATTGCATAGTGACACCTGATCCTTAGGTGCCAGAGTCGTTATGCAGATGTATCAGTTTGGACCGGTCCTCACAATCTGCATTTTGATTGTCTGTGGTTTTCTCTAAGAATTTCTGTCTGATTTGAGATAATTTTCCTTTTAATCTCTATTTCTTTTATTTTTAATTTTTGGTCTTTTGAGACAGGGTTTCTCTACGTACCTTTGTCCTGTAATTTATTCTATAGACCAGGCTGTCCTTGAACTCACAAAGTTATACCTCCCCAATGCTGGATTTAAAGATGTGTGCTACCGCCGGACGGTGGTGGCGCAGGCCTTTAATCCCAGCACTTGGGAGGCAGAGGCAGG